CAATTACGGATTTTTAAATAAAATAATTTTGCAAATGAGCCATGACAAAGTAAGCTAACTTTAAATGAGATTGATGTTTATTTTTTTATTACAAGGGTTGTTCAAAAAGATCATGAACAATGTCTTTCTTCCTTTTACTACTTTAAAAAAATTTAAAATACGCAAAAAATATTTGTTTTGTTGATGTGTGAAGTTTCATCCCGTTCGATTTAAAAGAAATCAATTTTCTTCATTTTTAACATCAACATGTTTTGTAACCACGGAGCATACTTAACCAATGTTATGTCAAAAACATAGCGTCAAGATTTAAAAAAAAATACTTTCTCTATTTATTTCACAAAGTATATTTCAATAATCACTTATCAAATCCTTTTTTAGCACTTACAATTTTAATGGTTAAAAGTACAAAAATTGAATTTATCTTCATTTAATAAAGTTTAAATTTAACAATTATTTCCAAATATGTTTAGGTCGCCATATTATTTAAGATGGGAGACGTAAATAAACAGAAGCATATGTCAACATAAAAAAATCGTTCATTTTTTGTAAACAGCATCATAAATATGTAAAAACTGAGTCAAATGCATTATTATGATGCTGAAAGTTCCTAAATATTTGTTACTTATAAGATACTTGTGAATTTTGAATATTTTTTATTATAAGTGCAATAGAGAAAATGTCTCAATGAAGCTACCTGAGCAGGATTTATTGCCCTTGTCAACATTTTTTAAAGATTGAATAATTGATTAAATAAAGGAAATATGCATTTTTAAAACTTCTTTTACTTAACAATATTTATCATTCTTCCAAAATATATTGTTCTATTGGGTATGAATTTAATTTAATAACAGTTTTTGCAAAAACCTATGACATCACAGGAGGGTGGAATTACCTTAAAATTTATTTTCCTATCAATCATTCTCGTTGTATAATTTCATTTTTCAATGTTTTAATTTCTCTTACCAATTGTCTGAGCTTTCACATCAGCAATTCTGAAGCGCCTACGTCTTTCCATGACGTTCACACTTTTTAACGTTTTGTTCAGATTTTACTAGATAAACAGTTTCTTCACAGATTGTCATTGTCCGATACACAGATTCTCTGTCGCTCAAATACCAACTGTACCATTTATAAGTAGACACATGCACGACTACGTGTGACATATTTGTATATACCATTAACATTTTAACAGTTTATTCAGGATTTTTCCCGTGTGTTACACAGAATTCATCTTTTACTACAACAAAAACGATGACGTTGTAGAAGTTCCAATTAATTAACAATGCAATATTGTGTTTTACTCGGGAAAACCCTAAAATCATTTAAATAATGGAGGAATCAAACTTTGTCACATGCACGTCGTATATGCATGCGTGTGTAAATGGTATAGGGGGTATTTGGGTGACTGAAATTCTGTACTGGACGAAGATAATCTGTGAAGAAACGGTTTAACTGAAAAAAAATCTGAAAACTTTTAAAAAGAAAAAAGAAATCATATTAGGCACTTCAGAGTTGCTGATCTTGTGAAAGCACAGTACAGTGATAAAAGAAATAAAAAAAAATAATTTGTCAAGGGAAACTATACCACGAGAAAAACTGTTAACAACTAATTAAGTGATAGAGAAAGGATTTTAATGATTGAGTATCGGACAATACTGTGTGAGCTATACAGGATTAGGATTTTTTTTTTAGAAATTCTTGACACTATGTTTTTGACATTACATTGCCGTTAAGTGTGCACCATGGTCACATGTTGATTATAAAATGAAGTAAATTTATTTTTGTTTTAAAAATCAAATGGGTTGATACTTCACACAACAATAAAACAAATAATATTACACATTACATTGTGCTTAATTAAATTTTTTTGAAAGTGTTTTACATCTTCCACGAACTTTCCGAACAACCCTCTTATAAATTCCATATGCAATTGATAATGGTAAATTTCTATAAACGTTTTTAAAAACCACTTTAAAAAAATTAACGTCACCATAAATCGAATGTTGACTGGTGTTTTCCATACAAATTGTTAGACCGCCATATACGGTATCTTCTTTGTATGTTTTCTTAATTACCCACAGATCTTTTTTTTTCAGTTTTCTCACAAGACGCACAAGGCGGGTGTGATCGGTCCAGTTCCCAGGGGATATGTCGGATATCTCTGCTCCCTTTTTGCAGGCCCAATTTAGGGTCGTCACAAATCTTTGGGGAAAAGCGGGGCCGTAAAATTGTGAAATTTTGCGGTCTTTGTGGAATTTTGGGAAAATCTTTATAAATTAAATTCATATAGATGCTAAATTTTATAATACATCGAATAAAGATAATCGATTTTCCAGTTTACCTTTCTTTAGTTCATAAGTAAATTGGCACATGCCTACCACTCCTAGCCACTACAAAGCTATCTGTTTGTAGAATTTTAAATAATAAGATCAAATACAAGAAGAAAATTTAATGTATGAAACATCATCAAACATCGATTAAACAAAATATATATTTAGCATAATTATTATGCATTTAAAAGTACAAGGCTACAAACAAATTTTGTTACACTGTATAAACACATGAAGACATTCTGAATAATAAAAGAGCCATTCTGTAAAGAATGACTTCACTTAAGTATGTCATTTGGAACCTTTTCGGCTACCCATTTTAAGCTTAACATTACAATATATCGCTAAATTAATACATGATTAATGTGCAAGCATATGGTTTTGATATTTATGTTTAAAAATTTTTGTCATACATATTTCTATAATAACAGAAAATGTAATTGAAAACAACATGCAAAAGCCTTTAGTTAAATTCCGGAAATTTGAACGGGCCACTTTCGAATTTAAGGTATCCGCAAATAGGCGGAGACATTTAAACCGCGTGGTTGTGGAATGTAAACATTAGCACATGATTTTTTCGAAATATGAATTGAAATGGAGAAGATAGAGAAAGCGTGTTGATTTTAAGGTGCACAATTATTAAATGATTCTAATGTTAAGGGATGGGGTAGATGTATCGCTCTGCTGACCATAATACAGAGGCGACATACACTGTAAGCCTATGCATGTACTCACTAATGACACCGTCAACACAAGAATTCTTTCAAAACACCCCTAATAAAGCATAAGTTAAATAAGAGACATATTATCTTCAAACCCTATTAAAATTTGCGCAAAAATCTCCCATAGTTTGAGGTTGGAAGTACGATAGATAATGTCACAATAGAGACTAAAATACAATGAAATTTTCAATGAAAGCGTTAGCGTATAGAAGAGCAGAAGGTCACGTGAGAAAGGTGATTATATAATAATATCAATCGTTGATGCTCGGTGACCGGTTAATTTAGTAGCTATCTCGACCTTAATTTGGGGACATTTTTTTTAAAATTAGATATGAGCCGCAACTTGGCCAACATTGTCCTTTGGATATGTTTTAGTTTAAGTTAAAATACACATTCTGTGCAAATAAAAACAAGAGGCCCAGGGGCCACAGCGCTCACCTGAGCACATCGGGCTTGAATTTAATCAATCATTTGAACAAACTATTAAAATTTACCCTAAGGATGATTCCATATAAATACCCCGGGTATCACTAATCATAGCTTTGAAGTACTTGAAAAGAAGATTTTAAAAGGTTTCCCTATATATCCCTATGTAAAACTTGGGTCGGCCATTTTGGCCCCACCCTATCCCCAGGGCCGGGGGTCTTGATTTGAAAAAAACTTGACACTACCTGAATGGCTTCCCTATCAGTTTCATCTTTCCTGGCCCAGTGGTAATTGAGAAGGATTTTTAAAAATATTTCCTATATATTCCTAAACACAAATTTGAAATTGATTCCACATGAGTTTCATCTTTCCTGGCCCAGTGGTTCGGAGAAGAAGATTTTTAAAGATTTTTCCTATATATTCCTATGTAAAACAGGGTCGGCCATTTTGGCAGAGTCATGATTTGAACAAACTTGAATCTACACTTCCTGAGGATGCTTCCACATGAGTTTCATCTTTCCTGTCCGAGTGGTTCTGGAGGAGAAGATTTTTAAAGATTTTTCCTATATATTCCTGTGTAAAACTTGGGTCGGTTTTGGCCCCACCTTGTCATGATTTGAAAATTTGAATCTACACTACCTGAGGATGTTTCCACATGAGTTTCATCTTTCCTAGCCCAATGGTTCTGGAGAAGAAGATTTTTAAAGATTTTTCCTATACTTTTCTATGTAAAACTTGGGTCGGCCATTTTGGCCCCATTTTTGATTTGAACAAACTTGAATCACACTACCTGAGGATGAATCCACATGAGTTTCATCTTTCCTAGCCCAGTGGTTCTGGAGAAGAAGATTTTTAAAGATTTTTCCTATATATTCCTGTGTAAAACTTGGGTCGGCCATTTTGGCCCCACATTGTTGAATCTACTCTACCTGAGGATGCTTCCACATGAGTTTCATCTTTCCTGACCCAGCGGTTCTGGAGAAGAAGATTTTTTTAAAAATGCCATTAATTTTTAACAAATTCATGATTATCTCCCCTTGGAAAAGGGCGTGGCCCTTCATTTGAAAAACTTGACACATTTTGTGCTTTGTGAAATTGGCAAATAAAATGTGAAAAGTTACGGATCAGAAAAGCCAAGTTGGCTCAGGTGAGCTAAAAATGGCCAAGTTGCGGCTCGATGTAAACAAAGTCGTTGAAAACTGGTATGCATATGAATAACAATAGAAATAGGAGAGAACTGTTAGACCCCCGTCTCAAAAGCTAGTGTCACTCGGCATTATTTAATACTTTCAGGTAATATAATATACCAAAACCTGCTATTGAGACATTGTTGAATAACTATAAAACATAAATTTAATGAATTTTGGAATTTTATTTTGCTTAAAACATCGGGATCCAACTGTCATAGCTTAAGTACAGTCATTCTTTACTTTGACTAACGAGGAGCTGCGGCACGTTTTATTATACGATGTCTTCAAACTGGCAATGATAATCAAAGTGATTATATAATTATAGATTTTTTCAATTTTTGAGTAACAGTTTCTCCAAGATCTGTCATCAACTGTCACTGTTTGGTTAGCCTCATGCAGAGAATTTTGTGAAAAACAATGCATAGCAACAATATAACTCCATTGGAGTATGAAATGATCGTAGATTAGAGGTCAATATGACCCTTTCTTGAGAAACAGCACCTCTAAGATGCATCAACTGTCTCAAATCAATTAAGCCAGGCCTCATGCAGGCGATGTGTTAACAACACGATATATATAGAATGAAATTTTCACAAACAAATCCAAAATTAAAGGATCTTGTTTTGTATATCAACAAGATCCTTTCGTGGAAACTTTTTTTTTACTTTCATCGAAAGAAATCTTATTGCCCTGAATGTGAGGGAGACGAATAGTAAATGGCATGTTTTGACTTTGAAGGTAACCTCCCTCGGCGGCCTTTAAGGTATCCACTTCGCACAACTGAAATACGATTAATGATCAATTAGAGTATTCTTAAACCACTTCCGGTCGATCCGATGAAGAAATTAGAAGAAAGTGATAAAAATCAATTATCATGCAAATGCTTTCAAACGTTGACAAAGGCTTACTACTTTATGATCAAATGGGGCACCGTTTTAATTGGTATTGATAACAATTTAATGATATTTTCTATTCGAATAGATATCATCAATTCGAGTGATATTACCTATTCGAATTTCTTACAATAAGAAATAATGAATGCTCCCTTCCTCAAGACTACAGTGTTTAGATTTCCATTGTAGCCAAGCAAATTCGGGCTGCCCAGTTTTCCCTTGTATTTCAGTCTGAGATATTTTTAAGTACCTTATGTTATTGATCCCTTTACATTAAAATGAATCATAAATTATTCCCACCTAGGGTGCAACAGAGTAGAATACCTTTCTCTCTTTATGACGTAAAGTGGGTCATTCCTGTATGAAACAGTTATTGTGCGTTTTACGCGATTTTTTTCCATAGTGCACACGATGAAGAAATGCAATGAATATAATTTGTAATAAAACAAACTAAAACTTCTATCAGGGTGTTTAAAACTAAATGCGAAGCTATAATTCAATGTCTTAAAATTTTTTCAGTTAAAAACGAAAGTGAAAGTAAATGCGACTGGAAAACACTATAGTCCTAAAGGAACAATTGTTATTTCAGATATAATTTGAATAAGTGATGTCTCTTATTCGAATAAGTGGTATTACCTATTCAAAATAATTGGCGATTTCACTTACTTGGTTCATATATTTTAATTGGTAAATATCATCTATTCAAATAAGTGTCATCACCTACATGCATTTTAATAGAAGATATCACTTATTCAAATAGGTAATAACACCGATTCAAATAGGTCATTTCATCTATTCAGAAACTGAATAGTTGATTTCATTTGTTCAAATACGTGATATCACCCATTAAATGGGTGATATCGCCAATTGAATGAATGATATCACTTAACTGAATAGGTGATGTCACTTAATTGAAAAGGTGATATCACTTTTTGGAAGTAAATACCAAAACAATACTAGTATCCCATAGGATCAACGAACTAATATAAGACTACATACCTTCCTTCGTCATCCCGACAGATAAACATTTCTGGAATCGACAGCTCTGACACCGGTTTCTCCTCCCTTTGTCAATCATACACTTCTTATCCCCGACACAGACGTAGTTAGGACTCTTTTGAACTGTCCTCTATGAATTACAAGAAATTACAGTGTTTGATAGAAAAAAAGGAGACAAATGTTATCCTATGTAATATAACAAATCCCTCCATATGGTAAGCATAAATAAAGAAGTTGCTAAAATGTTTATGATGAGAAATTACTGAGGAATTTTTAACAGACAGACACATACCTACACAGACAGATACACACACATATAAATGTCAAACAATTTGTTATGCTTCGGACAGGGGGTTATAATTTATTAGCGGGACCAGAGCGATGTCTATTTGCTATATGAAGTATCACTGGAACTCGTGGACAGGAACACACCCCTTCCCCCGATATTATGCAGTATTTTGGAAATAATTTTAAACAAAAAACACTTGGGACGAGCTGACATTATCTGAATTGCCTTTGAGTTGAAAACTGACCTTGAAGAATCCCTTGCAACCTTCACAAGTCCTGACGCCGTAATGTTGACACTTAGCCTTGTCTCCACACACCGCACACAGCAGACTCTCGCACTGCTCAATACTGCCGTGGTCAGACACACAAAGTTTACGAGGGAGGGTGGTAGATTCTAAGCTCGTGCCTCCTTGGCTGCAACACACAAATTTATAAAAATTGTTATAAAATAAATCTTTATTTTGTCACTTATTTTCAAAAGATAACACAGAAAAGTAATATAACATGATTATAAAATAATACTAATAAATGTCAATAAGTGAAAGCATTTTTTCCTCCTTCTGGCTTTGTCCGACACATTCTGATATGAAAATAGTTCACGATATTTAATTTTTTTCATTCGTGTATGTGTGTATCACTGTTTTAAATTAACAACTAGATGGAAGTCGGTTCAAAATTTACAATGTGAAATATGCGTTTCAAATTACATTTACAAAAATTAATTTTATAAATGTTATTATTTTAATTTTTTTTAATGGACTATTTCAAAATAATTTACAAAGAAGTGAAGGTATATGGTTCATAAATTCTCATTGTGAAGAGCGTAGACCGTTTTGATTTACATAAAAGACAAAATATGTTAACGGACGAATTCGGCCCTTAATTGACATAAAAATCAGAGTACAGTTAAAACAATGCTTCTTATGAGACTAGCACTAAAATTCATTCAAACTACCAGTATATACGGAGGTTAAAGAGAGTGTTAAGGTAAAACTTTTTTTTCTCTAAATTTCATCCATTATGTGAAATCTCGTCAAATTTTAGTTTTCATTTTTTTTACTAGTACTTCTGAGAAGATAGAGAAAAAAAATGCTTATCTGAGATTTTTCTACACAAAATACGTCTAGTTTGTGTTCTGCATTTTCTAGAAATTTAAAAAATCCAAAAAAGGATAAATTTCTATTTCTTGTCCTTCCTTTAACCTGATAATAGATTAAGTTTGTATTCTGCATTTTCTAAAACAATATATACATTAAATCTGATAAAAGAATTGCAAAAAATTGTCCTTTGTTTAGCCTTTAACTTAGAATTAAATACTCGTTTCCTTGTAGGCTATACCATCTTCATATCCGAGACTTTTCAATCTCCTTAATCATATGACTGAATTTTTAGACCATTTTTGAACAGAAATGAGTTTCATAATTTTTAGAACAAGATTATCAACACATGATTGTACACTAGCCGTTTTAAAATTTTTCTCATCCCTTCGTCTTTGACCTTTTACATTTAGAAGACCTTGTGTCACAATTAATTATGACTTGTACATACAAGGGTTGTCGGAAAGGCCTGTGCACGATGTCAATCTTTGTTTTACTTCTTTTAAGAAATTTAAAACAAGCAATATTACATGTATTTGTAAAAATACTAGTTTTGTTGATATGTGTAGTTTCATTCCAGAAATCAATTTATTTTGTTTAAAATCCAACATGTTATGTAACCACGGAGCTCACTTAAACGGTAATGTAATGTCAAAAACATAGCGTCAAGAAAATGCTGTCCCTAGAATACATTTCACACAGTATAGTCTAAAACCCACTCATTCAAAACCCTGTTCTATCACTTTACAATTAATTAATTTTCAAACAATTGTTCTCGATGTTCCTTTGTCAATCGTTTACCACTTAACTGTGCTTTCACAAGAACAATAACTTTGAACCGCCCATATCTATAGCACGCCAAATTCACAAAAATGAGATAATCATAGTTTCACAATTGATAAACTAGGTTTATCGACTGTAAACTATAGTTTACAAACCGTAAACTATAGTTAACGATTCGTTAAGTATAGTTTTCATCTGTAAAACTATATTTAACGGTTGTTAACTATACTTTACGAATGTTAATTTAAGTTTATCTGTCTGTAATAAAGCGTTAACAATAGATTTTGTTGATAAACATAGATTCACGTTTGTAAACTATAGTTAAGAGTTGTTAATCATAGTTTCACAAATTGTGAAACTATATTTATCAGATCGTTAACTATAGTTAACGGTTTGTAAACTATAGTTTACAAATCGTGAAACTGTATTTATCAGATAATCTATGTTTTGCAATCGCAAATGAATGTTTTCGGTGTTAAGTATAGTTTACGGTTGTGAAACATAGATTATCGCGTTAACTATGTTTACAGATGTGAAATATAAATTAACGTTGTTAACTATAGTTTACGGCTTGTAAACTATATTTTACAACCGATAAACCTAGTTTATCGATTGTGAAACTATGATTATCTCATTTTTGTGAATTTGGCGTGCCATACATATCTTTTCATGATGTTCCCACTTTTTAAATTTTAGTTTTTGATTAGATTTTACCAGATAAACCGTTTCTTCACAAATTGTTCTCGTCCGATACAGAGTCTCTGTCACTCAAACACTGCCTGTATCATTTACACATACCTGCACGAATCGCTTATGACATTTTTTTTTTTTCATTCCTTTGACATTTGCAGAGTATATTCACGAATTTTTTCCAAGTATAAAAAAATTATATTGTTATCTGCTGCTCCATGGCGTCTTCAACGTCATTATTTTTGTTGTTTTCACAGACGACTATCTATTTTCTAAAATTGATTTGAATTCTCATCAACGAAGTAAAATATTAATAAGCCATAATTTGGAATATAAATGAATGTAATAGTTCTCAATTTAAACGTCGAGGATTTTTTTTTTTGTTTTTGCTCCATTTTGCAGGGAATATGACTGCAGACATTACTTTGTGTATTGTTTGTAAATTACTAAATTTTGTTCTGCGCCCGATCCGATTTTTACAGTCATAATTCTGGATAAGTTTGAAAGAAATCATGATATTAAGTACAATTTTACTAGTGTGAAATTTTTTTCTACCAAATTGGATAACATATGACATCAAATACAAAAAAAAGAAGATATTACAAAAGACTGCGAACTTTCCGAACAACCCTTGTATGATAGACTTGCTTGAGTTATCTTAAGAACTAAAAAACAACCTTATACGAGTATGTGTTTAGTTGTGATTGCCAAATTGTTCGATTTATATTTCCTCCTTTCTGCCTTTTATTTCGTACGAAAAAAAATCAGATTGAGTTAAAAGAGAGAAAACTTCTAACAATGAAAAATAATTTAATTCAGGTTGTAACAGACCATTTCATTTTAAAAATTCGTTTTTTTATCGTGTAACCTACAATGCCTATCCGTTCCAAGGGTTTACGTAAAAATCCACTTGACGTTACATTTGAAATTTGGATGCCTTTGAAGGAAAAAAATGAAGGAAACATTGACAGAAAAATAAATCTAAAGAAGTAAACTGTAATAGTTTATGCTTGTAAAAGACTGTTTCATCGTTTTTGAAGCTTAAAATGTAGTAACCAAGGTTATACAGTTTATAGCATATGAATTTAAAGGTACGTGATAATGAACATTTTATCTCAGTCATTTACTATTTGATGTTAATTACAGATGTGACATTTCACTACTTTCTTACTCTCCGATTGGTTGACGGGGAAACGTGAATCTCATATCGAACGCTGCCATTGGTCTATGGTTACTGATCCCAAAATCGTAGTTGTCGTGGATTCCGACATCATAGCCCTGTGAATCACACCGTGATGGCTTATCGATATATCGATTTTGCACTTTGTGAACGATGTTACCATTGCTCTCATACGGCTGGAAGTTGTCTAGATCTAAGTACTCAGCCTTTTCTGTGCCTTGATTCTTCCAGTTTCCAGATAAAATATCTGGGGCGTGTCCGAGATTTCCCCCGAACTGTTGTCGAAGAGCGTTAGGAAACACTGTATTTGAAGCCTCGTAAGGTATTTCATCAATCTTGTGTTGGAGATTCATAAACTGGGTGTTGTCGTATCCGAATATCCCAGAGCATGTTCTTTCTCGGTGCTCAAACGATGAAATGCCCTGAGAGAAGGTATTCTGATTAACATTTCCGAATGAAACTGGAAATGCATTGTTCTGCAAAGAAAATTTTGGAATAGTACAGCATTAACAATATCAATAATACTTTTTATTATACCTCTAATGATTTTTCACTACATGAGAATAAATCGATATATTTTGCTGATTTCCTGAAAATCACCATAAAAAGACTGATTCCCTGCAGAAAGGTGCGTCAGTTTGATGAACTGATACACACCTATTCGGATAACATAGTAATTTCTTGATCATATAAAAAGTACCGATAAGTTCCCAAAAAATCATGAATATTCATAATGCAGCTATATAAGGAGGCGGGGCCTAATTTAAACATGAAAAAGTAACTTGCTATTGTGACGTCATCCTTGTAGACTAATGTGCACTGAGAGCTATCGACGGATCCTGTAACTTTGTCACAGTGTAAGTTGTTTATAAAATAAACAGAGTTTCTTGCAGATACTATTTTGTATCTAATTGATTCAAATGCAAAGACCCTTTATTGAACTTATCTACATTCTAAGTAATCAATATTTCTTTTATTTCCATTTCCTTTATAACTGCAAGTGCGCCTTATATAGAATTGCAGGGGTACAAGTCAAAACGGCACCTGGTGAAAACTGCACTTAGGAAATATGCAAAACGGCACTTGAGAGTAGTCAAAACGGCACTTTAGAAAAGTCAGAACGGCACTTTTTTTATTTTGAGAATTTGATATTGTTTATACAGAAAATGGATCTTTATGTTACATTTATAGTAATAAATGTGTATATTATTATTGATAAAAAGTTTAAAAAATATTTTAGGAAAAAAATTAAACTGATTCATTTGAAAATTATTATACTTTTGTACAGGGGTTAGATTTTTAAAATGTATTTATATTTTAAATCATATATATTTATTTACTACAAAAGAGATTAAATCCCAATTATATTATTATGATCCTTTGAAATTAAAAAAATTATAGTGTTGCAAATATGTATACTACTCTGTTTTGGGGGTTGCCAGTCACAGTTGACTAATTAGAAGCCAGTTAGAGTACGTTTACTAAGAATACACTTGTAGGTTTAGGAAACAAAAGACCATTTCACACCTCCCCTTCAATAATCTGTTGATCGTCAATTTGCAATCATATACAGCTACTATTGTGTATTTCTCGACAAAATGTCAAATGGATTGTACACAAGTTAGACCTCTCGCAACTGTACATAAAATATGAGTAGCCATACAACATATAATAATATAATAAACATGTACATACAAGAACAAAACATTTGTTTTTTTATAATGAAGATATACAATGTTGATATTGTTAAAATAATTTCTACAGAATTAGATAGAAATGTGAGATAAAGTGACTCTTACTGTAAATATTTTTTTTTAAAAATCATTTACACCATTTCTTTTTTCATATTATCAACACTACACTACAAATATAATTATTCTAAATCCCACATATTGTTGTGTTATAGCTTAAAAATACTACCTTTAAAAATAGATTTAAAATAAAGCAAAATTGAAGCCACAAAAAATTCTAAAGTCAATAAATTAAAGTTTGACTTAAAAAGAACTTATGTGAAATATATATCATAACACTGTTATATACTTTTTTCTCTAAGTGCCGTTTTAACCAAGTGCCGTTTTCACTAAGTGCCGTTTTAACCAAGTGCCGTTTTGCATATTCCAGGTGCCATTTTCACTAGGTGCCGTTCTAACCATAATTCAATTGCAGCTACTGACTTTGAAAATGTCTAATTTTTGTATCGGTATAATAAAACAGTTAAGTATATAATTGAGGGAACCAGCAAGATTCCAGTTCCCCTCGGGCAAGCCTATTTCCCTTGGCTGCGCCTCGGGAAATAGAATTGGTCTTGGGGAACTGGAATTTTGCTGACTCCCTCAATGATATACATGTACTTAATTGTATAATTTCCAACGAAAGAGAGATTGATAATAATATACATGAAATTCATACGACACAAAAGTATGTAATTGAGGTTTACTTTGATATATTTTACTCCACATGAAAATTTCAACCTAGGTCAAAAGCCGAGATTATGGTTTTTCGAAGTTGAATGTTTATGTAACCGTCCACTAAACTTGGCTTTGATTTTAACGAGGCCAAGTCTAATTCGAGTGCGTATGGTTTTTATTTTCATGCAGCTATAAGTGCGATAGTACACCTTTCCAAAATATTGTGATTTTAATATATAATTAACAGTATCTGTAACACCTGTTGCTCTGAAAATGTGATTTTACGACAATTATTAGGAAAAAAGCCTGGAAAGGTTCTAACGACGTCACTGTTTTCCGATTTTGTAAGCAATGCACGACGCTAAATAATGAAACATGATTCGCTTATATTTTCGAAGACGCACATGGATATTATACTAAAAACTGAAAACAGAACATCAAAAGAAACATACTAGCAATCTAAATATTACTAATTTTTAACCAAAGAAATTATCTGCGCCGATAATTCACCTACACCAATATGTATTTATATCGCAATATGGCAATTTTACAGGTATTATTCATCGAAAAAATAAACTTTGTAATTAAGACCCAGATCAACCTACATGTAGATGGTAAACTTTTGAAATTTCACATATTTGTGACTTTTTACAATAACATTCATATACTTGACTGAAAAAGAAATCTCTAGGGCAGAAAATTAATACAAAAAATATGGGGAAAAATGTGATAATTTGGCGCTATTCCAACAAAGTCCCATAGGGTCCAATAGTAAAATGTGACAACTTTTGAGGTGCACCCCTAAGAAATCAGGGTGGTAAACATTCAATTTTTTAATCTTAAAACAATAAATATAACAGTTATGATTAATCAACGAAAAATTATCAAAATCCCAAGGGTAGAAATAATTAGACTCGGCCTCGTTAATTGTCTCATCCGAAAAAAACGCGACCTTAAAATTCTAATGTCAGGCCCAAGACAAGGGTACATTCAAAATATCATATAAGAAGATTATTTTTGTAGTTTTCATTGGCTGAAAGTACGTCACGTGATATCCCTTCTTTTGTGATATCGATGCGAAAGCGTCCGCGGAAAATAATATCGCACGACACGCCGTTCGGTTGCACTAAAGTTACGTAGTTCGTGACGTCATAATAGAAGAAGCGTTATTTTAACCATTGTGACGTAATGACAGCTAAGTCCGTTCAATAAGGACTGTGTTAGTGCATTCAATTTGAGTTTTTATTTAAGGAACGAAGCTTATTTCAACTTATGTTATACGATATAACATAACTTGGGGCAGTTTACGCTTTATAAACCGCGAAGCGGTTTATAAAAAAGGGTAAACTGCCCCAAGTTATGTTATATCGTATAACATAAGTTGAAATAAGCTTCATGCCTTATAATTAGGGAATAACTATCTTCTAATTTGGTATTTGCGACCGTTTATGCTGATTTAACGGTCGCAAACTGAGTTTTACCGGCCGACGCGTAAGCGGAGCCGGTAAAACGGATGTTTGCGACCGTTAAATCAGTATTAACGGTCGCAAATACCAAATTAGAAGATCAGTTATTTCCATTCTAATGCAATCAATATACAGCTTACTTCACTTATATTGAACTCGCTTATTTTGAAATAGAAATAAATCCCCAGTTTTTGACTCTCATATTCTTTGCATTAAAATAACGGTTGTATTGAAATCGGCTTTATTGAAATTTCGTTTACATGTATATTGATCTTGCCACTGATCAGTCCCCAAAGGTGATAATGAGTTGTTTTCATAACGGTTATAATGAAGTACACCTGGCAGCTGTCGTTACGGTTGGTGACAGAAATTATGCCTGACTGACCAGTTGATATAAAAAGGTGTGAATAATTTTAAGTTTTCACCTTATGTGTTTTCATACTGCATGCTCTTACGAAATAAAATTATTCACTGCTAAATTCTTTGTTTCCATGTATATAATACCGAAGTATTTAGGCTAAAGGCAACATAGTACCCCCACAGATCTAAATCAAAGTTCTCAGAAGTACTGAAAGCCGGGCTCATTTACAGGGTAATGAACAAGGACCGTGGTGACAGTTTAAAATCAAGTTCAGACGTTTAGAAGATATATTAAACACAAAATATCTCAATGGCATGTATAGTATTAAAAAGTTTTAAAAATTAAATAAAATATAGCTAGAAATCAAGGCTGTTAAAATATTTATCACATGTATCGTTTCGGGGTTTTATATACAAACATAAGTAAATAAACACCGATGCAGCAAGATTAATTAAGGTCAAACGACTCTGCACTGATGTGTCCTCAGCGGGGAGTTTTGCATCAAGTCATTAATGATGTTCCCTGCATTTGTGTTAGCCTGATAGTACAACCTTTATTTATAGAATATGACGCAGACAGGGATACCTGGTGAAAACATTTCGCACCTTTTGAATTGCTTTGTAAAATATTAGTCAAAGGAGCCAGGAAAAATATTAACCAATTTAATATTTTGATAAAAATATTCGATTTACTATTTCTTAAGGTGTTTGAATGAATTTTGTTTTCTCAACAGCGACTGGGCGTACGTACTATATTTTTACTCATAAACTCAATTTGGCGGTGAAGAAGCAGCATTTTCTGTTGCTCACCGTCGCAATAGCCGGGCATTGCTCTACGAGCAATGAGCCCGGCTAAAAAAACAAACTAACTTTGAAATTAACGCTGCATTTCATTTCCGGAAATATGCGTAGCATTTCCGACATTTTTTTTTATTTCATTTCCGACATTTTTTGTTTTCATTTCCGACATAATTTTGTTTTCATTTCCGGAACTTACCTGTGCAGTAATTCAATGTTTTCTAAGTGAATGAGAATGGAATTTTAAGAGTATTTATTACAAAATATTCATAACAAATAAAAAAAGTAAAATAAAAAACATCTACACATTTATCCATACATGTAGCACTACAGTAGGTGTAAATAAAAGAATTCAATGAGCATAAACCTTTTCATCACATCTAAAGTGCACTATATCAAATGACATTGACATCACCACACCTATGTCCAAGTCATTGATAGATTTACAAAACTCAGATAATGGATTTCAATGATTTATTTATGACTTTTTTTCTTTATAAAATTTTCATAAGTAAAGTATTCAGATCCGCAACTAAAAGTACTACATATGTATTTGAAAATGTCGGAAATGAAAACAAAAAAATGTCGGAAATGAAAAATAAAAAATGTCGGAAATGAAAAGTTGATAATTACCAAAAATTCCGGAAATGAAATGCAGCCGAAATCAAATACGTAACATTAATGGCTAATGATAAACCTCAATTCGAAATAGCTAAGAGATCAACCCGAGTACATTTACGATGAAATACATGCAGCGTTCAGCAGTACTCAACAGTTTGACATCAGTGATTTTTCTCCAAAATGTAAAATAAATGCGATCGGGGAATAATTATGAAGCTGAAGATTGTCTAATCGATAAAAAAGAAAGAAACAATTTTATTTAAACTTTCAGGGACTAATATTCCATGTAATCTGTACACTGTTATAGGTAAACGATGACAAAATTAATTTGTTCGGGTTTGTTCTTTATTTTAAGATCGGAACTGAACTTTTAATTAAAAAAAATGGCGGCTTCACGAATTCGCTTATATTGAATTACGGATATATTGAAATAATTTCCATGGTCCCCTGAATTTCAATATATCCGGAGTAGGCTGTATTTTGTTTGTTGTTTACGTTTTATTTTGCAGAATTTTGTTATATAAAATACGTCACGGGGCATTGTGTTTTTGCGTCGCTCTATTATGACGTCACAATGTAAAGCTTTCACTCTCGTTAATGCTCGTTTTACTGCTTCAAACACCAGTGCATTAGCCAATCAAAACGTGTTTTACAAAACAATTGCATTAGAATTTAATTTCAATGTAGACAATGAGACAATTTTTCCATTTTTTCCTTGGGAAAAAGGCTTCAAATATCGCATATTTTAAAAGTTAATGGCAAGCGGAGTTATACGTTTTTGACGTAACTCATTGTGACGTAGGCAAGTTACGTTATACAAAATGGATAAAACCGTTTCACCAATCAAATGACGTGCTACAACTGAAATTAAATTATTTCAATATATCCGTAATTCAATATAAGCGAATTCCTTATAATTTAATTTCAAAATAATTAAACAACTGGGGATGTAAAATTGTGTTGTTTTTATTAGTTCAAATTTACCGCGCAATAATACAACCGTAGTAACGGAAGTGATGGGAAGCAAGGGGAGGTAAAAACTGATACATAGATCTAGCAGCCATGATGCTTGTTTACATGAGGTAAGATCGAGCAACTGATTGAAGTTAAAGGTACATTCATTAAATCTGGAATTTTTCATGAATCCGAAGGACTGGAAATGAGGGGATTGATGGATACAGATGATTCAGCTGGTTGTCAAGGGGGTGTGTCCCCATACCAAACCAGATTATACAAAATGTTATGCGTTCCTTTTTGGAAATCAACCAATGAGAGACAAGAATACAAACAGAATTAAATTATTAAGGAATGAAGCTTATTTCAACTTATGTTATACAATATAACATAACTTGGGGCAGTTTACGCTTTATAAACCGCTTCAGTTAATAAACTGGAGTCAGACAGATATAAAAGAAGAAAACTAGAAACGCATACGAGGGTTGTCCCGTAAAATCGTGGACAAAGCGTTTTTCTCGAAAAGTAATGGGCGCACAAAGCTGAAAATTTCAGTAATTGTTTATTTATCATATTTAAGTGCATGATAATTTTTTTGATTAAATATAGGCAAAAATAAAGATTTTATTATGCTTGAATGTGCACGGGGTACGGTCCTACGGCGCACGGTCAAAAAACCAAGGTTTTATTAAAGAATACACAAGTTTGAATTCAAAACAAAAGTTTTAAATACATAAGATTTGGATTAAAATTATCCTCATTCAATTTCACAATCAATTTTGTAGTCTTTGTAAAAATTTTAAGGCATTTGGTTAATTTTTGGCAGTTTCTCGAGCATTCGAAATGGGAAAGTGGTAAACACAACACACGAAAAATGGCGACGTTTTATGACGTTACGGCGCACCGGAGAGCAGTTCCGTTTTAATTTGATGTTGTAATGACACCTTTAGAGACTTGAAATGACCATAGAAGAAAAAAGATTAAAAAAATATCACCATATCTTAAGTATACAAATGAAATAGGAGTTTTCCTAGCGAATTATTTTTTGATCGAGTCCCTGGGGAGTACAAAACATACGGACAAACTCCTTTTTTAATAGCAAAAGACGCTGTTACAGTAGATCGCGATATGAGATTTTCTATTAGTTGAATGGTGGTGAGAATATTGTCCGTAACTTACTAATAAATCTTCAGAAGATCGCATGAGGGTGCCAATTGGTTCTTCGACTGTTTATGGAGACTAAAGAATGTGTTTCAATGAAATTCCTAAATTTAAGTCGGACTCATCCAACTTCATTTTCAGCAAAGATAAAACGTGACGCTGTTTTAGACACTTTGACGTTATAATCCATGCGCCGTAAGGTGATACAATACATGGCATAAAATCTCACAATTTGTTTATTTATGCATATATTTATCTGAAATTTGCTGTGTATATTACTAAAATATGTACTAAATAATAGTGAAAATTTCAGAACGCAGTGATGTTTATTTTTCATACTAGACATCTTGTCCACGATTTTACGGGACAACCCTCGTACTATTTTATCAATATTTATAAACACACAATGAGAATGTATTTCTTTATTGAAACGCACAATTTATGCCTAGGTCACATTTCCCGGCCGGTAGCCGTAGACCGGTGGTAATCGGTAGTAATCCGTGGTGTTAACGATGCCCCAACATCGGTCCACATCGGCCTAGTAGTCCTAAAAGTATAAGTCACATTATCCAGCGATGTGCATACGATGGGCAACCAATGCGTTTTATGAGAAAAATGGCGTGGTTGCCGGCCGGACTTACAAAGGCCCAGCGATGCATTACTAATCATAAAACGATGTTCCAGGATGAACGGCCGAAGTATATTACATCGCTCATACATTGGTGAACATCATTCGTACATCGGTCGATTACGGGCCAATGTTTGGTCGAACATCGACTGATGACCGGTCGTTATCTGTTGAACACCACTATACTCCCCGATGACCTCAGATTCAACGGATATTGGACGATGCTCGGCCATACATTGGCCGATCCTTGAAAGATGAGTTAATGATGGGTTGCCGATGAGGAGCGATGTGAGGCATCGTTGGAGACATCGCTGAATTTTAACTACGAATTATTTCCTACCGATGACCCCACCGATTCGCAAAAAAAGAATCAGTCACCGTCCGATCACTAGTGGTGCCCGGCCGGCAACCATGCCATTTTCATCAAAAAACGCATCGGTTTCTCATCGTATACCCCATCGTTGGATAATGTGACTTATACTTTAGTGTGCAAACATTTCAACTACTATCATAACAGACTCGGCTGATTAACCTGAAAGTATAAATAACCTGAAGGTTTCTCGTCATACCGACACCCGTTGTTTACGAATTATTATGTAACATAATCCCAGACGTCAGTTGTTCTTTTATTAAAAAAAAAAACCCCGCACATCTTTTTCCATCGGTCACTCCGTGATCATGCCATGTGTTCATTGTTTATAATTAGAGTGTTGCTCTCAGTTTACTGCCAATCGCATCATCTCGGGTCTTTCCGTCAGAGGTCGGAAAAACAACCTCGAATGTATTAAGATCACCGGATGTTAAAAATTTATACATTTCCTGTTTATTCAATATAGGATATACGGAGTTAGAAGTCCCTTCTATAGTATATGTATTTTAGGTAATATCATTACATTGAATAAAGTTAAACTCCATATTCTACAGATAAAAAGTCCCCATGCATTTATTTCAAAGATCGTGAAAAGGGAGGGTTGTCATGGCGTCTACCATATATATTCGAGGTCGTTTTTCCGCTAGTCGAAAGGCCCGAGAAGTTGCGATTGAGTGTACTGCATACTTTTCTCTTACCAAAACCTTCATCTCTAAAGCGTTTGTAAGACTCTCTTACAAACAGTACCTGGCCAAATCGTCAATGTACAAACTAGAAAAGAACGGAAGTAAAAGTATTTTTTCTCTATATACGTCACAAGTCACATGGTGTGGAGGACCCTTAAGAGGGTTTCCTCTTCACAATTATCTCCCTTTGGAATGCGTGTACTTATTGAAAAATTGTAAATTTTCTTTATCAGGTGAAACTCTGTGGCAAGTTTGGTTGAAAATGCCTCATAGGTTCTTTAGAAAAAGATAAAATTGTTAACAGTTTACGACGACGACAAGTAGCAACAAACTAAGTTTGTTCAGAAAAGCTCACTTGAGCATTGGACTCATGCAGGTGAGCAAAACTCTAAAAAAAAAAAATGTTTGGTTTGGTTGAGTCAATTCTACGAGTATTTCACGAGTCAAATTGGGAGTTTGGTGCACGGGCTTCGAGAAAATTGCACAAAGGTGCTCATAAATAACTGTATAACTTATACAAGGTTTTTTTGCCTTGTATTAGGCGCCAGATTTAAACTTTGTATTTCATCTTTAAAGAATGCATACATATATTCAAAACACGTAGAATAAAATAATTCTTGTACATGATTATTAATATACTCAGTCGTAAAAACACATACATGTCGTTCAAATAATACTGTTTTTATGTAGAGCAGCATTAAATAAAACCAAACAAACAAGAACAACCAAAATATATATATATAATATATATATATATATATATATATATATATATATATATATATATATATATATATATGATAAAATCAGTAAACTATACTATTATTACCTGCATTTGTTGATGATGCATCGCCGTCAAAATCTTCTAAAACTTTTATAAATTATAGCAAACGTATGAATCAAAACTAAACATGTAGCAAAAGTGGTCGCACTTGTTCAATAACCCGCACGTAATGTCTTTGTTTTCAGCTTATGGAAATGAAGGCATATGTATAAGATTGAAGAATACGTAATATATAACCTACATTTGAACAGATTTCTTATATGAAGATGTGACAGGTGATAATATCTAGACATATATCTAATTAGTATGTGTTAATAAATTTTTCGCCGATATTGGAAAATTAACTTTTAGAGTATCGACCACAACTTGTCAATATGAACAATATCCCTGTGTGTTAAACGGTGCTCCGTGACTTTTGGCAAGATTCAAGGAAGAAACTAGAATTACAAACAATATTATTAATATATTCGATCAGTGCTTATTATCTATTCAAGATATATTACTGTAGTCGGGTACTCTTCACACAAATTGTTCCGATAAAAAAAGTTCCATGATAAGTAGATACAACATTACTGTTTATGATTAGAATAATGCTGTGTATGTCATAGGTTACAGAAACAAAAATTAACGTAAAAATGTTTTTAGAAAATCACTTTCCCCCTGAAATGCAAATAAAAAATATTAATATCACTACGCTCGCTTTCTTAACATGTTTGATAACAGAGAATATTTAGGTTATTCTCCGACTGATATTTTTTCACCGATGAGTTGATTAAACTAATATCAATAATTGTATTAAGTTCATGTTTATTGTTCGTTAATTATCATATAATTTCCTCTTAGAGAAAAAATATCATTCTATGTGTGTGTTTTGTTAAATAACAGAATTTTCAATCCCTGGGCAGATTTCAGCACGTGTGTAGATTTTGTAAACTGTAGGGAGCGTAACTATAAAATGTATAGCAAAACCCGAACCGGGCCGGAGATTTCTAAACTGAAAACCAGGTTCACGATGAAGCTCAGCATATTATTATACATAGAATTTAAATTATATAAGTAAGTTAAAAGACAATTACTGTAGTATATTTCAGTAATTTTCCAAAAAACAAAAAGGTTTTCAGTTTCCAATTTCCCGACCCGTCCTGATTTTCGTAACCCATTTTAAACACACTTTGGTGTGGATGCAAGTGTAAGAACAAATGTTAGAACAAAATATAGTTGTGCAGGGATTGTATAATTTTCATTAATCAGAATTCGTATTCATATGATCTAATTAAGTAAAAAAGTTACTAAATGAATTTTCTGGTATGTAATCAAATATGAAGTTAAATGTTTGAGGTTAGGGGTCAACAACTACAAATCAACAATCAGATTTAACTTATTTTTTTAGATACGGTATCTTAAGCTATCAACTATCATTTGGCAAAGAAAAAATCATACATTTTAGTTTTAAAATTTGATCATTTTTGTATATTTTTATATGGAGCTCTTCTTTTAAATGAGATCGAAATAGTCTGAAAATGGCTGCCACCCCCAGCCTCTTTAAATTGTGAAGAAAAAAAATTCACCAGATTTCTGCGCAAGGAAAGCGTCATTTTCCCGCCAAAGCCAAGCTACGGTGATGAACTAGGGCTATATTTTCTTGATGAAAATTCAAGTAAATTGAAAAGTCGAATTCTTAATCCAGAATGGTTATACAACACCGGACCTGTCATCGTAACTTCTCGGCAAAACAAACGTGTTTCTCCAAGCTCGCTAGATACGTTTGACAATCTCATCGCACGTGTGTAGACCAAGGCTAACTGGTCTTGCAGACACATGTATGTGCACTGTTTGCTTGGAGATTAGGGGACAGTAATGCTACGGACTCATGAACTTTACACCAGTTCCATAACAAGACAGTGAGTTTTTTTTAGAAGTCATTATACACAGTTAAATCTAAGAGTCGAATATCTTTGAATATGGGGTAATCCATATCTATTCTTGTTTTATAAGTTCAACTGAATCACTCAATTGACCATTTTTATCCGTATTTTTTTTCATATCATTTGATTACTTTTAAACTTAAACTTAAAATGTATCAGCTTATCCGCCAGAAATGCTGATCATATTTCAACCAATGTTCAAACATTTGTTTTATTTGGCGTCGGTAAGATCGTGAAAACAATCACTCTTTACTCCTGGATATTGATTGATTGTATATTGTTAAACGCCCCTCTCGAGAATTTTTCACTTGCCGGTGGTAAGCTGCAAATCTTGTCCTATGCTTGGCACTCAGGGCCATTGAGCAGGGAGGGATCTTTTATTGCGACGCGGGACCTCGGTTTATACGGTCTCATTTGAAGGACCGGTCTCCACGTCCCACCGTGGGATTCGAACCCGTAAGGATCGTAAGGATCAACTCTTTACTTCGCGACTCTAGAGCAGACGCTCTAACCACAGCGCCAAGTGGGCGACTACTCCTGGATATGCAATAGTTGTTTAGTTTGCATTTTGCAAAGTAAAAAGTTTAAATTTATGAAGTAGGTCATAATGACCTATTTTAATGGACGCTACCTGTGGCCCTAAGGTGCATCAACTGAAAAGTCAGATGATGAATGGTGTTTTTAAGCTTCTTTATCATGATTATGTCCAAAAATATACATCTAGAATATTAAGGACAATTTAGATTTAGATTGATTGTCATCGTCGGATGCCCACGGATGACCTCGTCTTTCACTCATCATCGTGATGAATAAAAGACGAGATCACCCGTGGGGATCCGACGATGACCGATTGTATGTTGTTTTACGTCCCATTCAAAAATTTCTAACTCATTTAGATTGTATACTAAGTAGACGTCACCATATACCGGTGAAGGGCTTCAAATTTTCACCTTTACTCGTCACACTGGGCTTTTGGACAGTAAGAGATCTTTCGTACCAACGCCTGCCGTCACACGGAACCTCGGTTTTCAAGGTCTCTTCCAAAAAACCCCGCAACTTTCACTCAAGTGCCGAGCGCATGCCGAAGAAATAGTTTTTACCCAATTTTATCGACTTAGGTCAGTAGCGGCCAAGATTCGAACTCACAACCTCCCGATCATGGATCGAGCGCCCTACCGACCGAGCTATGAAAGGTTCACAATTAAGAAAGTAAACCCTTATGACCTACTTTTCATTTGATTCACCTCGAAGCCATATATGTGTGTCAACTGTCAAAATGTGAAAAACAACCGTCTCCGATAAATCCGATGCTCTACTGGGTTGACCTTCCATCCCCCCGATAATGATCTCTCAAAATACGTGAGAGAATTCGCTAGAATTTTCCAGGATTTTAAAAGATTGTTGAGAGTTGGCGAGAATAAAACCGCCAAAACAGGTATTATACACATCCCCGTATGTGTGAAAGGAACTATTTTTCAAGAAAACCAATTTTACACACAAGGAAGTGTTAAAAAATGTTAGACGGTTGTATACATGTCAAATTGCTACAATTTTTAAAAGCCTTGTGTGAAGTATTTTCATAGTCCGAAATATCTTAAGTTTTCCTGGCTTTTGTTTCAATTTTGACATTTTACGTGCCAGTCCTGTCACGTAAAATGTCAAAATCGTTAAAAAAAAAAAAAAAAAAAAAAAAGGAAAACGGACTAGTATATTCAGAGATCATATAGATTTCCAAGTATTTTGCCACGCCAATGGGAATCAGTTTCTCCTAGAGACTACACTAGCCTATAAGAATTCTTAAGGAAACAGTCTCCAATACACGTATCCCCAATGTTGTCTCATTGAGCTCAGTTGGTCTCTCTTGGATCTTCCTGTAATATTTGACTTATTTTCACCATAAATGCGTTACATTCGTTGATCTAAATTACAGCTGAGAAGTCATTGGTAAAATCTTGTAATAGACCATGGGCAAGCCTTTGGAATTTTTTGAGACTTGTTACATTGCCTATCATTAAAAGACCCTTTTTGCAGTCAAAATCACTTAATGGAGCTTCTAAAGATCTCGAGCAAGAAGTTCAAGATTTTTGGCTGACCGCTGAAAGATCTCCGAGAGCTCTACCCAATTTCGCAATACTAAATACTTAATTTGTCGCCTCCCTTGTTTAAAGGGAGTAAATACAGTATATATGTTTACAGGTCAAAACAACATCATTAATCAAAAGCTGATTTATAAAATAATTACAAAGGCCCTAGAGCAGGCAAATTATACTTGTGACCATTAAAACAGCGCATTGGTTTTTTTTTTTTTTTTGGTTTTTTTTGGGTTTTTTTTTTTTTGGTCCTCTTTATCAATTTTCCAGACAGTTCACGGTAGCTCAGTCGGTAGAGCTCGCGCTTAGTGATCGGAGGTTGCGGGATCGAATCTCGGCCGAACGGACCTAAGTCGATCAAAGTTGCAGGTCCCTAGGATGAGACCTTAAAAACCAAGGATCCGTGTCATGGAAGAACACTATTAAGATCCCTCACTGCTCAATGGCCCTGAGTGCCTAATAAAGGTCAAAATTTGAAGCCCATCACTGGTATCTGGTCACGTCTCTCTATGAGATGACATCGAGTGTGGGAAGTTACATGTAAACAAAATTGCAATCAATCAATTTTCCAGATTTCTCTACAGATGTATACCTTCTTGAAAAAAAGAATATTCTTTCACTAAAAAAGTCTGTTTTATTTTAAAGTATTTTACCTTTTCTTAATATATTTTATTTGGTCAAAAACCATTTCACAGACAAGAATCCCTGCATGATACAATATCTCAAAAAGTGTGTGATTTTAGATACGATTTATTTTTCAATACATATAACAACATGAGATATATTGATTAAATAAATAAAGCTTTTAAAAATGTCCTATAAACTTCCCACTAAAATTGCATAAAATTAATTCATTTTACTTTCTTCAGCTGTTCATAAGTCATGAAAAACTGGTAAAAGAGTTAAGGAAAATATTGAAATAAATTTGATGCAGACACAAGTAAGAAAAAATAGAGCTGATCCAAAGAACTAAAAGACCACAAAAGTCTGGCTTTCACTAGTTAAACTAAGTGTAATAATATTGGTTTAATTTCTCAACTGGTTAAGGAGCAAGACCTCTTTCCCTATACATAAATTTGTTAAAACTTCAATGGTTGTTGAAAGTCATAATTTACCTATCATAGGCGTCGGAACCGGGGGGGCTAGGCGGGGCTTAGCCCCCCCCACTTTTTTTCCAAATATATACTTAGTATAGCCATTGAACATATCTTCGTAGGTTTAGCCCCCCACTTTCCACAGATACGTCTTAGTATAGGTTAAAAATGGGGAAAGTGGTGGTGTTTGGAAAAAAATATTTTGGTACTGAAGTTCGAACCTAACCCAAAGTATATTGATAAAAATAATTTGTATTTGTAACAGAAATATTATGAAGGATACAATAATATTCCATGGACCAAGTCTGACCCAAATGGGAACAAAACCTTTATAAAGAGCCATAAATCCCTCTGTTTTTGTCGTCTGCAAAGAAAAACGTGTTTGGATGGATAAAATAGGTCAATTCCCCAAAATACAGAAAATCTTCAAATTATTTATAATTCATTCTTGATGACTTTCTTTCAATGACCATGTAGAAACAAAATGATTGCAACATTACGTTTTTGAAATTGTCGCAATTGGTGGTAGGGCTTGTAAGTTTTATTAATTGAAGCTAAGTATATGGTAGACTCATAGTAACATTTACCTGTATAGCACAATCAATGGAAGAAGTATAGATCTTGGAAGACATAGTCTTTTCTCTTAGGTTTTTTTGGTTCATCATTCTTGTCTGTCAGATAAAAAAAAATCAACTGCAGCTTTCATAAAGCCTTTTGAGCCTTATCCTGTATATTGTAATGAATACTAAGTACCGTATAATTATTTTGCCTAGCACATCATATGTTGTAAACAATAAATAAATTCAGAAGAGAATGCAAGGCAAGCAAACTTGTATTTTACATCAGTTTCTCTATTGAAAAAAAAAAATAATTAAGCATCCTCTGCTACCTTATCTGCTATTATTTATATACAGAGAATGAAATCAATTTACATTAAAGCATGAATTCTTCATAATCAAAAATCATTTATGTGAAATAGAATATTTTGTAAAATTCACTTTGTGTTTTACTCTATTGTGTTACGGACTATCTGTAAAATATGCTATATCTGTATTCAACTGTATGGTGTAATAGAATTACCTACCTTAATTACATCAATGGGAGTAGAAAATATAGCACCAGCTAATCCTGCAAAAAAGCTTGATCTGTAAATAAAACAAACACAAAGGTACGTATATAAAAGGATTAAGAATTACTACATTCATAAGAAAAAAAAAGTTCTTCATAATTATTTGATACATGTGATTCTTCCTCAATTTATGCAAATAATGAATGTAAAACCAAATTTCTAAATATATATTATTACTTTATTGTATCAAACTAAATATTTTGCAAATAGATAATATGTCACAACCTTTATTAGGCTACTTGACTTTGTATCACCTATTCAAAAATTCTTTGTGAAATCATTTATAAAAGAGCAAACATGATTTACTGATTAAAAAGTCTTACATAAAATGGACTCCAACATTATCGTCAAAATACCCTGATCTAAGTATCCAGTATTTAGAGAAGTCATACACCGGAAGCTCCACACCAGCAATGATTGCTGCTCTCTGAGCAGTGGGAACCACTCCCTGCAGCATGATGATAATGTATCATTTATAGACATAAAACATTGCTCAAAATTTCCTGTTCCACCTTAATCTGGCTCTGCAAGTCCATCATTTCTCAATTCTATTTATATTTTTATTCTACCACCCCCCCAAAAAAATTCATAATTTAAAAGCATAAGATTTAGAAAACCTTGCAAGACTATATGATAGATGTAACCTGTTGCTTTAAAACTACTGGTAGACATTTTTCTAAAGGAATGATTTTCATTTATTCCTGTATGAGTTATCTCTCTTATCAGTCGCTCAATGTGTCTTAATACATGTAGCCTTAATGTTTTTGTTAAATATGGCTTTTTAGGCCCTTTAGACTTAAGATTGTGAAAGAAAAAAAAATTAACATGTATATGTACAATGCAATTAACACGAACCCTCCAAAGTCCTTTAATGCCTTCTTCTTTGTATATCCTTCCAAAGGCGCGTAACATGGATTCCTTGTCATTAATATCTGTCTTAGCTTGTAAGCGAACCTAACATAAACAAATCATATGTTAAAAAAGAATAAATAAAAAGAAAACAAATGCAGTGCAAACATTCTTTTCTGTCCAAGCGTCAAATGCTGGTGTTAAGTTATAACAAAAATGAGTTTCAATATGATGCAAAAAAAACCCTCTTATTTTATTCCCTCAGTATTATAGAGAATAGCACGAAATTACGAAAGTTTGTCCAAATCTTTGAAAAATAAGTTACAAGTTCTTCAAAACAAAACAGTAAGATTTATTTTAAATCTGAGTCCTAGAGCCAGGATCAATTGCGATATTTTAGATTCAATAAATACACTGCGTGTATCTGATCATGTAAAACAGTTAAGACTAAATCATGTCTTTAACATCAATCATAGCCTAGCACCGAATTATTTAAATGAGAATTTTAATAGAAATAATAATGCTACTAGGGGAGCGTTCAATTTTAATTATCATGTACCCAGGGTTGGAGCATACAATGATTCAAATTTTTATTATCAAGCCATTTTAAACTGGAATTCTCTTCCATTGGAAGTAAAAACTACAGCCAATAGAGCTATACATGTAGTTTTAAATCTGCTGTCAAGTTGCATCTTACACAAGAAGCTCGAAGGATGGAAGAAAGTATTTATATCTAATATTTTTATAAGGGAATGAAACTTTTTAAAAATAATTGGTATTAACCTGAAAATGTGAATATGTATATATATGTCAAATTATTTTATTCAGGCTAGGAAAATTATGTAATCCTCAATTTTATTTTTTATTTTTTGTCCATGCTGTCTTAGTCAATTAATTATAATCAACTTGTACCATCTTAGGACCCCACTGGAAATAAGCATGTTTTATATATTGCTTTCATGGGTTATACTAGGCAAAGATTGATTAAAAACATGTTTGTGTTGTATGTGATAAGATCATCTGTATAATTATAATGATAACTGTGATAATACCTGGATTGATACTGTAGTTTTAATGTGATAGCTATATGTATGAGCTAGAACTTTTAAGTGATCCCTAATTAATTTATGAATGTAATTTGTATTATGATTTGTAATGAATTTGACTCTTTGCCTGAATAAACACAATAATAATAGCATGATCTTGATTGTTTTAGCATCTTGCCTTTAAGACATCAGTTGGATTGGCTATTGCACTTGACACAATTCCAGCAACTATTCCACAGCAAACATTTATAAATAATGTAGACTCTGGAAAAAAATTGTATAGGATGTAATTGTTTTTTTGACATTATTAACAGTCAATTCTCGAATTATCGCCATTCGATTCATCGCCATTTTCGCAATACCGCCATGATTTCCCAGGAACGTTTTTCCTGCTATATAAAATTCTCTTTATAACGCCAAATTCGCATACCGCCATCCGCCACCCTGTTTTCACAACAAACGTCCATTTTTAAGTGTCAATTATCTCGATATACCGCCACAGGTGCATGTGGTCAGTGAAGCGCGGCTAATTAGTTGACGCTATTCCTGTTGTAAAGCATGCAAACACAGACAAGGTACATGCAATTAAGTAATTAAACAAGAATTAGATAAACAATAATTTTAACATGAACTGTTATAATAATTTTGTTTTCTGTTTAATATAATCATTTAGTCACAGCTTCGCCACGAAAGCGGTCATTGTTAAAATACGCCGATAACGGTATTATTTTGATGATCTTTGCTTTAAACAGTGCAAAGTTTGCTGGAAAAAATATTTATACGGTATAAATTGTGAATGTTTCATTAACAGTGATATATACCATAAACAATGAATATATTCAAGAATTCATTTTACTTACTATCGGCAATATATCAGTCAACGAACGTGCAGATTTACATTCATATACAAATATTTGTCTTTATTTCATAATTGCACATTTTGTTTTAGCGAAATTGTACATTTAAAAAATTACTTGAAGTATTTTCAATCAGAAATATGTTTTTATATACATGTACATGTACATGTAATGATAAGAATAGAAACGCTAAATGGTATTTCTAAGAACGATAACTCTACGTCGTTTTCTAAAAGACGGGAAATTCAATTCATCGCCAAATTCGTTATACCGCCATGATTTTTAAATTACAAAAGGTGGCGGTTTATCGAGAATTAACTGTACTTAATTGTTGTAAATGTAAGTATAATGAAACATAATTAAAGCATGAATGTAATAGAGTACATCTAGGGGAATATTAAACTGTACCATATTATACGCTAACAAACTGTATAATTATCATTCAATATATATTATTATATAAATATTGCATGTAGCTGAGTGTAACACAGAAAATTTTCAACCCAAGAAAACCAATGTCAACTGAGATGCAATATTTTTTTATATTATACTTTCATGTAAATTACTTGAATCTGATTGGTCGAGAAACATTTGTTAAAAAAACACTATTAACCGCTAAATGATGAAACCACACCCTCCAGCGTAGCAGCAGTCAACAGTGCTTGACAACGGGTGATATTCCATAAAATAGCGACTGTGCAGAATTTATGCGCGCAATGTTCACTGTTATGTGTATTTGTATAAAACATTCAGTATAATATAATAAATATTGCATGTAGTTGAGTGTAACATTAAAAATTTTCACCCCTCGAAAACCACTGCCAACCTCGGCTGCACCTCTGTTGACAATGGTTTTCTTGGGGTGAAAATTTTCAATGTTACACTTAACTACATGCAATATTTATATAATATTTCATGGTGGTCATGAATATACAACTTCTGATTAAACAGGTTTACCTTGCGGATTTTCAACTAACATGGATTTCAGTGAATGGTAAATTCCAATTTTGATTGTCCCATATGTGGCTTGTCTCAGAATGGCTGGCGATATTCTACAACAAAATAAATTTCGACATCAAAATTCCAATACTAAGTAAGTGAAATATTTCAAAGAAAGATATTTCATTCAGATTTACATGGTTGAAAATGGGTTATTGTAGTATGAGTTTAAGAAGTAGTTGAAAATGTATAAAGTTTGACAGCAAATAACATGGGATAAAAGGCAGATGGAAACATTATATAATTTTTTCATTCCATCAAAAAACTCAGGTGAGGAAAAAAACCTTAGAACTTTACAAGTAAAAGTAATAAACAACTTTGATTGAAACTTTTTGGTTTTTCTCTACTACCTATATAAAAAACAAAAATATCATTTCTATGTTTATTTTTACTCGACGTCTTTAAATTTCTATATTGCAAACATTCTTTTTCTTACATGTACATCAAATAATTTTAATTTTCAAACATTATTAATTAAATTATTACGTTTCATTCAACAGTCAACACAAATAAATCTAAAAAGATATAATCTAAAGACTCAAAATTTATGATTTGAAATCAATTAAAAGGTGGGTTTTTTTTTCATTATACCCTGAGTAGAGAGCAGAAAGTCCTTCCTCTCGAAATATTCTCAACATGGCATGAGTCATCCCTCTGTATCGAAGCTCAGATAACCGAGCATCAATTATCTGCCCCTGAATCTGCAGTCGCGTCTTTGTTGTGTCAATAGGAAAGGTGCCTGAAAATATCCGTGTTTATAGTTTGAATTTGTGGGGTGGGGATGTTAAGTGTGTTATGACTTTCAAGTCTGGTATACGTTTGATAATCTATTACCTATCTCTGCAGTTATGGATGCCAGGCCTCCATATACAAATGGTCTCCAATCACCCATGTTGTCACCCCTCTGTACAACTGCCACAAACAGAAATTATGTTAAAAGATAAAACAATGTTGAAATATTGAATAAGCACCTAATTCTAACATTGGACCACTGGTTAACTGTTGTAAGCTTATTGGACATCAACTGGAACTCATGTGTAATATTATTGCCACCTTTCATCAGGGTTTCATGAGGATTTACTGGGTTGGTGTCTTTGAAGAAGGAAGGAATGTCGTGGTCAGCAGGGTTTAAAATTGACACCCATCAATTTGCGACTGGAAATCAAGTAGCCCACATGGCGATAGAAAATTTACGCTAATAAATATTGGTTTTTCAATTTTGTCAATGTTTAAAAATCACGGTTTCATGAAAATTTCGTAATCAGTAAAGTGCTTTATATTTACCAGTGAGAAGTACTTATACTTAAAGCGTCTGAATAATTGTGATAGACACAATGTGGCATCGATGTGTCAATGAGCCCAACAAACAAAAAAGTATCTTTGTTGTGTCTGTGAAAAAACCTGCCATGTGCTTGAATATATATAAGTTTAAGAACCATATCAATCTTTTTAAACAACAGAGTTCAACTTCAAATTTAGATAAGTTGTGCACAGTGTTTCAGCATATGATTAAAAAAAAAAACAACAAAAAATGTGTTTGTATTTTTATTCTAGAAGATATAATTTGTGGGCCACCTTGACCCACATGGCGATCAAGGATTACAAGTTAGTTTAAAACCCTGGTCAGGTGGCCAGATAGCTCAGCAGACAGCTGGTAAACCACCTGACTGGGGAATCAGGAGGACCAAGTTTGAATTCTGGTCTGGTCCATCACATTTACCATTACAGACCTATTTTTCACTACAACCCTGACTTGCAATTGCACTTGGAAATCCTGTATGGGGCAATAGATCGAATGATTAAAATCTGAGTTGTCATTCTTCGAAAGGTGAAAGATAAATTATATTTAAGGAGGAAGGAATGTAATAGGTTGAGTTACATGGATTGTAGATGAACATGTAAGCATGGGTAGTGACTTAGGCCTTAGCTAACCCTGCAAGTAGACAAGTGAAGCAACCTAGGCCTCAGTTAGGGTCTTGTGTTTGATTAATTACTAATCTACTATAAATTTCCATCTTTCCTTTTACCAGCTGTTTACAGTAACACATGCAAACGATATGCCTGCTGTATGTCCATAGAAGTTACAAGGAGATCAAAAGAGTTCAAACTGTGTGACAATTTTTTAAAAGTGTTGAACTGCTTCAGTCTAATGGTTACTGAACTCCTTCTCTTCAACAATATACGCCACGGAAAGTGATGTCAGATTGATTTCTATTACAGTTAGGCCTAGATAACAAGGAGTTCAACAGGTAGTTTATGACAGGAAGAGTGTCCGATAACATGATAATTGACTCAAATGAAAACGATCCATTCAGGTCGAATTTCCTCGGTCTCTAATCACGGCTTATTATAATCATAATAAGAAATGCAAACACACACAAACTTATAACTCCTACAAAGATACCTACGTGTCTTTTCTATTGTGTTGTCGACTTATCGCTCACCATCCTGATTCAAACAGACATACCACGGTCAATATTTGCCTACCCTACCGGCCTACGTGCCACATGTTATCGAGCAGACGCTGCAGACACGAACGATAACTCTTGTATGTTTGTCACGGTCACGGTGGCCAGTGGTACGCTAACTCTCGATTCCCGCCCACATTTTACTGCCATTTAATTCAAGATTGGTGACAATTTGGCCATAAAATCTTTGTTTGATACAAAAAACAATTCAGTGGTAATTGATTAATTATTACCAGTGCTAAATAGTAAAATATCCCTAATTTTAGCTCTTGAAATTTCAACTGAAATCGGGCTGTAAAGCATCATAATATTCTGAAATAGTCTTGGTTATGAATAAATGTACATACAATATTTATACATATTTAAAATATATATATTCCTGTATGTACAGCGTATTTATTTGAATACAAATTAATACATGACTTGAGGATGAAAATTTTGTTTGAGAAATTGAGATATTTCTATCTCATAACATATAATTCTCATAATTGTTACAGACATTTCAGATGCAGAATTTTTATAATTAATTATAAAATTAATTTGTTTCACTGTTATTTTTATATACATACCTCATATTTTTAATTTTATGGTGTGAAAAAAAAATATTGATCTTTCTATTCACCATATCAAAATTTCTCCATTACCATGCATGATTATACACACAATAATGTATAATCATGCATGGTAATGGAGAAATTTTGATATGGTGAATAGAAAGATTAATTTCTGAAAGAGTAAGCAGCACTTTAAACCTAAAACTATTTTCCATTTACGTTGTTAATTAAAATCAGCGATGACATTAAAAAAATAGAGAATTTTGGAGCAGAGGGATGTTTCATTTTAAAAGGTAATGAATAAAGCTACGTGTAGTGCTTCATGTTGATATTTTTCAGAAATTCTAGTTATATAATTCAAAGAGAGAAAAAAAAAAATCAAAATTCAATGCTTACATTAATGACGTCATATTCAATATTTTTTATGTTGTGAATGTCTGTTTTACACAGAGAAAACGGTGCAAGATTTGTCAAAATTGACAAAAATATTAACCATAAATGATTTATTAGAACCATTAACAGACATATTAATTTCCTACAATCCGTTTTTACTGTCTTCAATCACATTCGGTGTATTTGATAAATACAATGTGTCATTTATTTGAATGAACAAAGAGATACTTCAATATCTTTAATTTAATGGCTGACTTAAGGAATAAATCTACCTGGTCTAAATTGATTTTAGATTTAATTTGGTGCACTAGGAACAACAATTAATCGTTGCGACGTGAGAGTGTCATTTAATTCAGCTTTTGTAATCGATATGATTTTTTTTAAATCAACAAATCGTGATTAAGTATTTCTGATGGTTATGCCGACTTTATTTCATTTTTTTCTAAACTTGTTTTTAAACTAAAGAACAAAAAGTATTTATAGAATCTGTACTAGTCTTATGTACAAAATGTAGTAAAATAAAGAAGGGTTTCATTCAAATTTTCGATATAGTTTTTCTGTTATTTGAATTGTTGATTCGAAATTCGCACTTTAATTTTATAAAAACCAGTACATGTATATTAGAATATACTGAACACAATGGAAAATGAAAACAAATACCCTTTATCCCATTGTCACTTACTCAAATAAATAAATAAATAAATAAATAAATAAAATGAAGGAAGAATAAGATTTTTTTTAATTATGTAACAAAAATTAAGAATTAATCTTTCCCTTTCGAATTCATTTTAGAAATTAAAAAAAGCCAGTTTATAGATATTTTAGTTCCCTATATGCATAACGAAAATGAAAAAGGCCAGGGGTGAAAAACCTGAACGAAATGTAGATGGAGAAATAAAGGTGTTTTAATTAACTTGACCTTTAAGCTCACTAAGAATTTAATGTCCTTATTAAAAGGTTCATTGCTTACGAAGAATTTAACTCACCACAAGAAAACATCACACGTTATTCATGATAATGAATCTATGTATATTTGCATCTTTAAGAACACAGCATTTTTCGTAGATGAACAATGATGATACAAAGCGATGACTGGCATTTTTCATATGACAAAGGTGATGATAACAAACAATGATCGATATCAAAAAATCCATAACCAATACGACTCTGTCAAGGACAAACAAACTGTTGTTAAAAATTTTTAAAATAACACTTTGGGTCATGTTTTAATGAATAAAATGAATAAGTTTCAGCGCGTAGTTTTTAAATTTTTATTCAAAGTTGCACAAAAATGGAATTTGCAGTGAAAAATATTTGCATAAAATAATAAGGATGGTTTCAGAAGGGTAGAATTTGAAGGTCACAGATGTTTTAAAATTTCTTTAGATTCTAGAAATTTATGATTTGCATCATTTGCAATGAAATTAGGTTCAAAATATATATACCAATCAAGGCATCCATTTTTTGTTTGTATCACCTGTCCTTAATAGGGCGTAAGACACGACCTCTTGATATTGCAGAGATACTAGGTTCAGTTATCTAGGAGGAGTTTAAAAGCACTCCCTGTTGATATCCCCTGTGAGCCCCATGAATTCATCAAGGATGCATACAGTTGTCAAATCTAGTTTAAGAACAAATACCTAGCATCAGATCTAGCATATAATATGAAGCAAATAAGCCAAAAAGTGTTAAGAATTTACTTTCAGACTGAATCGTCTACGGGTTTTCCCCCTTACCCGATCATGACAGAGAGCAAACGACAGACCCCGTGTGACCGGTCGATAGTGGATGCTTACTCCTCCAAGGCACCTGATCCCACCACGTGATGGTTTAAGTGACCTGTGTTAGCTCTGCTCCTTATAAGAATTGATTCCATTAAATTTTGAGAATGATTGCTATTTGTTTCTTTTTTCATATTTCATGAACCTATTAAAAAGTCTTCTTTACATCACAGGGAGCACTGATATAAAAGATTAAGTCGAAAATTACCCTAAAATAAAAATGACAAACGGACCGACAGACCCAAAATATCTCCCATTTTCAGCGAAAGCGGGGGAGAATCAAGTAGTATATAAAGGACCAGGGTTTCTATCCCATAAATAGAATGTTTCAAAATAAAGCTCTCGGCATATCAAACTCTTGATTTCTGTAAAATAAGGAATTTTGTTTACTTTCGGCAATAAAGACCGAGTACTGTCGATGGTACTAAAAAACTTAGTATAGCATAAACCCCTCTACGTCACACAAAATGATCATATAGTATCTCGTAGATTTCCTAAAGAATATCACAAGGGAAATGTATTCATCAAAAAGATGCTTGAGTTTCTGATTGACAATATCTATGTTGTTTTTGGAGACCAGGTCTTCCAACAATCTATTGGAATTCCCACGGGTACCAATTGCGCCCCGTTATTAGCAGTCCTATTTTTGTATTCATATGAAGAAGAATTTGTGCAAAACCTTATGCGTGAAAAGAAGAAAACACTTGCTCTGGCCTTCAACTCGACATTAGATATATCTACGACGTATTGTCAATTTAAAACAATGGTAATTTCCAATATTATGTCGATAAGATATATCCTGCTGAGTTTGAGATGAAAGATACCACAGAGTCTGACACATCTGTTTCATATTTGGATATTTTACGTGAAAAGAACGTTATTGGTAATTTAACAACCAAGCAGTATATTAAACGTGATGACTTATCTTTTCTATCGTCAAGTTCACTTACTTATGCAGCAATATACCTTCATCACCGGCATACGGGGTTTATACGTATATCTCAGCTGATTCGATACGCAAGAGCATGCTCTACGTATGAACAATTTATAAAACAAGGTAAATTATTGACAAACAAGTTGATGAAACAAGAAAATTCAGCAGTTTCGTTTAAAGTCATCATTTCGTAAGTTCTATCATGGTCGATGCAATGACCTTGTCAGCAAATACAATTTATTAATGAGTCAAATGCTGACTGACGTTTTTCGTGGTTATTGCTAGTCCATTATTTATACACTGAATTGACGACGGATTTTCCCGTTATTTCCCGATCATGACAAGGAGCACATGGTGGGTGTGACCGGTCGGCAGGGGATGCTCACTCCTTCATGGCACCTGATCCCACCTCCGGTGTTTTTGGAGGTCCTTGTTTGCTCTGCTCCAGTTTTGTATTGTTTTATGTACTTTTGATCTTGAATACTGATCGTTATCTCCATATGTTTAATTAATCCCCTTTTCTTTTTCGTTATGTCGGGAATACAAACATGCATAAGAAGAAATAAAAAAAAAACTAAAGACGAAAGGGGTCATTATATTAAAAGAAAGAAAATAGAAGAAAAAACGACAGATCGTAACATAAACGATAACAAGATGACACAAAGCACTGTGAATGGCTTACTGAACACCAGTTACATTCTTTCAACAATTAATAAAAATACATTTATGTAACTCAGTAAATGGGAGACATCACGTTATCCGTTATACATGTATGACCAATTGAATTGAGAAAAGATACAGAAAAATATGATAGACGAGAAGACAAAAATAAAAAAACTAAATCCATTTTATAAGATAATTAACAGTCACATCACTAATTAGCAATGATTTATAATGCACCACAAATATTAACTAGGTAGACTAATAATTAGTCATATTAAAAATCATCATCAATAGTTTATTTCTAGTTTGCAACAATTAAAATTTGAAATCTTTTTTTCCAGACGACATGGAAAATTATCTCTGACCTTATTGATCAAAATGAACATCGAGGAGAGAGAGAGAGAGAGAGAGAGAGAGAGAGAGAGAGAGAGCAAATGTGCATTTGCATGTACATGTAATAACTTGAAATTAATCTTTTTAGAAAGTTCAGATATATTGTCCGTTGTGTGTCTGCCACACAAATTTCTCCTTCTTGAAGTACTCTTTCACTTGCAGAATTTTTTGGAAAATGGTTGGTGGTGCCTTGAAAGATTTTAACAAATTCATTTTCATTCTGTGAGCCATGCAGTTAGAGGTAAAAAGGTTGTTTTTTTTCTGCAAAAACATTGAACTCCCCTTAATTTTTTTTTGCAGTACCTACTTCATATTTCAATTATTATTAAGTTTCAGAGTTCTATATTTTTTACCCTTGGGGCTATTGGAAATAAAAAAAACCCCATTTTTCCTTTAAAACCTGGTTTTTT